ATGATAAGTCAGTCAACAAGTCAGATCATCCGAGTTCCATCCAAAGCCTTACATTAGACGTCTCTTCGCCACTCGTGCTTGCGACACCCCATCCTATTTCTGCAGGTACGCCTTCGCCAAGTCCAAACATTCTCAACATCTTGGTCACCCAAGATGCTATTTGTCGGACCACATAGATGTTTGTTGAACTCCTTCCACGCTTGAGATAGATGTTGGTGGCAGAGACTAGGTCCGTAAGTGCTTGGAGTGCTTGAGGGGTATTGAAAGAGTCGCAGAGCGCCACACGGAAAGCCTGTTGTTGACGATATAGTCTATAATTTCCATATCAGACAGATCTCAAAGAAGATGAAGATAGTTCTCACTCTGAGGTGAGGTCGCTTTCATCCTTTGTGTAATTCATGGTTCCATTTTCTGGAGTAGGCGACGCGTCCCATTCCGCTACCAATGCCTTGGTTTGCACGAAGAAATTCTAGAAAGTCAAAATCAGCAATGCACCCGAAGGAAGGGTAATGCACGCACATCAAATGTCGTTTCTTTGGCACGAACTTCTGCCTGTAGGCTTTCATTCCAATCGAGACGATTATTCCATAATTGCGTCAAGAATGATAATCTGACTTGTCGGGCAGACCAAGTTTGAAGTAGGGTCTCGATAGTAATAAAGTTTTTCAGCGATTTGCTCATCTTGAGGCCAGCAATGTGCAAGTGCCCAGTATGGAGGAAGTAGTTGACCCATTGTTCATTGCCATGATAAGCCTATAAAAGACATTAGATATCGATTACAGGGTCACGAGGGTCTGCTTACTTCTGACTGAGCAAGCTCGTTATCATGGTGAGGGAACAATAGATCAATGCCACCAGAGTGAATATCCATTCGTTCTCCAAATACGTCTGAAGCCATCACAGAGCATTCAATGTGCCATCCAGGTCGTCCTCGACCCCATGGAGAGGGCCACGAAGGTTCTCCAGGCTTAGATGCTTTCCATAGGGCAAAGTCTTCTTGTGATCTCTTGGAGGAATGTGTTGTAAGTGCGCCTACATAAGTCTTAGAAACTCAAAGTCGTAGCTATAAGCAAGAAAAAACATACCTTCCCCTTCAGCTAATAATGCTTTATTACCGCGACTCCACGGTGCAAGTTTGGCGTACTCGTGCTTCAAATCTTTGTCCTTGATAGCAGCTCCATCGAAAGCTGCCTTGTCGAACCAGACGTTACCATCATCTCCCGCGTATGCATATCCGTTGGATATCACTTTCTCGATGAACGTCACCATCTGGTCGACATATTCGGTAGCTCGCGTAATAGTGGTTGGTGGGCGAACTCGGAGCCGTGCCATATCATTCATAAAAGATGTTTCCCAGTATGCGGCAAGTCGACGGAAAATTGCTGGGTCAGAGACCGTCTCTTTGAGCTAAACAATCATTGGCATTCTCCACCCGTATATTGCCAAAGGGACAGACCTTTTCATCAAGTTCGAGCGCGATAACGTCTTTGCTGGCTTCTATCAGGAGTTCCGCATTTCGTCCATCTGTTGATCCGGTGTTCAATTGAGTTCTCGCCAGTTCAATCGCTGACTGGGTGGCTTCCTTCTCAATGTTGAGCACGAATTATCACACCATATTCGCAAGGGTACCATACCAATGTGTTCATGTGCATCGTAAACTTCTCATCTTTCGCCTGGGCAGCCCCAGCCCACGATGGGTCCAGAGCGCGCGCTTGAACATAGCTCCAATGCGCTGGGAGGTTATTCGCTTGGGCCGCGAGCTCCGATTTTGCGATATTATTGAGTATTTTGCCGGTTAGATATTTCTCCCAGGACGTTTGCGCTAAATCGACGAGCTCCTGAGTCAATGCTGGGTTCTGTCCCTTCAGTTGCTCTATCAAATGCTCATGCCTAGCTCGGAGAATGATCTAAAATGGTTGAGTGACTAGGAGGCCGAAATTCATTGGCATTCACCTTGTCATCTATATCGGTAACGTTCATAACCAGATGGATATCGTATCCAAAGTAATCTTCCAAGATGCGTCTCAAGATATCCTGTGTTACATAGTTACTACATTTCTAAAGATGAGACATATCATTGATTTTCCTAGATACCTACCGTGCATGGCCCATGTGAGAAGCATCGTAGACTGTTGGACCGCAATTGTACCATTTCACGAGGTTTCCATAGTTTGGAATAAATTCATCCTGAGATGTCCATGAGCCATTTTTAAACAACTGAAGGGTCAGCGCGACAAACCTTTTGTCGAGTCAAACTATTGTAGACCTTGAGGACTGGCCTAGGATTGGTTGGGGCGGGTGGAAACCATTTTGTCGTCTCTGTAGACATCGGAGACACGTATAATGTTCTAGAGGAGAGAATGAGTCGTCGTGGTAGACGAGCAAGCATGCCACTAACAAAGCAGGGGTGACTCTTGATCCACAGCCACGACGATCGCGCTTTCTTCTCCGCCAAAATGTCTGACAGCTACGACGAAGACGATTACATGAACGAGGATTATTCTGACGGAGATATCGAGTTAGGATACGAAGATGATGACGCGAATGGAGATGGTTTGTAATTCCCTTTTGTTGTGGCGAGCGAGCAGAGACGCTGAGCTGAGATCCATCGCAGTCGCCAACGAAGAAGCAGACTTCGAAGTTGTTCCCGAGAAAGATAAAGTCAAGTCCTATGAGGTGGAGTCTACTAGCCTCAGTGTAACTGAGGTCCAGAAGCGCATGCGAGACAGCATCGAACATGTAGTCTCTATCTTCGGGTTAGAGGTAAGGATTTCAGATCTTGATAACTAGCCATGACTGCTAATCTACGCTTTTGATTTAACGCGCCTCTTGATTAAGCCGGATTCCGCGCGCATGCTGTTGAGAGAGTACGGCTGGAACACGGAACGTCTCATTGATAAATACATGGATAGTCCTACCAAAGTCGCCGTGAAAGCTGGCATACAACGCGAGGCATCCATAGGGCAACAGTCCGTCAACTCGGCTGTAGAGCCACAAGCCAACCGACGGTCTACTCGCAGGAGCACGCTACCTACTCCTGCTGCTGCTGGCGAAACCAAGTTTGTCTGCTCAATCTGCTGTGACGATGAACCACCTGCCGTTCTCTCACTTCAATGCAATCACAAGTACTGCAGCAACTGCTGGGCTTCATACATTGAAGGCAAAGTACGCGAGGAAGGAGAATGTACAATCCGTTGCATGGAGAGTGGATGCATTTTGTTGGTTCCCGATAGCTTCATCAAGGAGCACACTTCTGAAAAGGTGTATACCCGGTTCGAGGAGCTCGTGTTACGGCATTATGTATCCCACATTCACAACCTCAAATTCTGTCCTGCCCCGGGATGCACGGATACAGTCTCTTGCCCTGCAGCGGCCACGAAATCAGCATTATCTACAATAGTACCCACCGTACACTGCGGTAAAGGACACATTTTCTGTTTCGGATGCTCTATAGATTCAGACCATAGACCTGTGCTGTGTGGAGTCGCTCGGCTATGGCTCAAGAAATGCCAGGATGACAGCGAGACTGCCAATTGGATCAAGACCAATACTAAGGAATGTTCGAAGTGCCAAAGTACCATAGAGAAGAATGGAGGCTGCAAGTAGGTATCTCGTCATCCTTTCCATTTCTGTAT